CAAGTAAACTTTTTATGATTTAACAAGAAAATCTTTAACTTAATCATAATTAAGGTTCTCCAATGTAGTACATTTTCACAAAATTTCACAAGGTGTTATCAATACTCTTGACAATGTCAAAATGTGTTTTGTTGTTTTTTTTTATTCAAGTTAGCTGGTATGCTTAATAGATATTTGGGCTTTATTAAATTTATTTTGTTTATATTTTCTTTTAATTGTTTCATATTTATTAAGGTAACATTGGCTTACAACACTATATATGATTTCGGGATCTAAATTCACACATCTTTAGATGTACAGTATCACAGAGAATTATCTATTTAACATTTCTGCCTATTTTTAATTTTTTACTTCTTGGTGTTGAATTCTATGAGTTCTTTGTTGATCTTGAATATTAATAATCACTTGCCAAATGAATGACGTGTAAATATTTTCTACCAATCATTAGGACATATTTTCATCTTAGTGACAGATTAGTCTTTAGCACTTTCTATGTTTCTCCCTTACTTGAAATCCTGCCTTTGTATAGTATCCCAACTCTCTAATTATTTTTTCCCATTTAAATTTTGTATCATGATACACTACATATTTTTGAAAAAATACTGGTTTGAGTTGGTGAAGAATCTTCTGGTAGCTTCAGGACTCCATCAAGCATTTTTAAATTTGGTAAACAGGAAAATACTCTGAAGCAAATATTAAAAAAAAAAAAGAAGAAAGAAAGAAAGAAAGGAAATTACATTTAGAAAAAAGCATTTTAATTTACTTATTATTTTTATGAATGGAGTTTGCCTATTATTTCAAGACAGTTTCACTATTCAGTTTATCTTTGCTATGGTTTTAATAAAATACTGTTTATGTTCATTGATTTGGTGACACTGCTCTATCTTATATCCTCAGAGAGAGAATACATAACTCAGGGTATATAAGTGTTGGTAAGAGAAGGGGCTAAATAACAATCTGTTTTTATGAGAAAATTTAAATCTAATTTTTATAAAACTCTAAAATGAATGAGTGATTTTTGCAAAACTTGCCATGATAGAGTGATATGATATATGAGAAAGTTTTAAAAAGGAGAAAATACAGCAATCATTTTTTCAATGATAGTTAAGAAAAAATTCTGGTCAAAAGATGTAAGAGA